GAGACCCTCCATAGTTACTCTATGAGTACGTTTCATGACGAGATGTCCCCTTTAAGGTTGCGGCATCTCAACCTAGCACTTTCGGCCTCTATGGAAGCTTCCCTCAGAGTATCAAGCACCCTACCAGTCTCCACCTGAGACAAGGCGGGGGTCTCCGCCGGTCCTCCCTCACCCAGCACGGGCCAGTCTACCCCCGACTCCTCCTCCTCGGACGAGTAGACCACGGTCCTCGCACGTTTATTCTTCCTCACCTGCTTTGGTGACGTCAAGCCGGGGAGCTGCATGCTCTCAACGGCCCTGGCAGCCTTTTGCCACTCCTCCAGGTGGCACTCTTCCCTTCCTACACTTCCTGGCGCATTAGATACATCGCAGGCCAAGTCGCCTACCTGTGGTGCCCTTCCTGACGCATTATCCAGACCTGCGGCCAGGTTGCCTACCCCGTGGTCCTGGCAGTCGTTGGTTGACGACGGCGGGTGGCCTGCCCTACCACCACCTGACACCGCCGTGGCATGGATATCCCTCCCATGCCCGCTTATTCTTTTGGTCGTACTATCCATGTTTAATTGAAAAAATATTAATGAGAGCCAAGCTCCCCAAAGGAAGGGAAAGGAACGGAAGGAAGCCAGAGAGAGAAAGAAAGAATAGAAAAAAATATGACATAAGAGCAAGAAAGGGACAGCCATGCAAGAACATTCATACACCTTTCACACAATCCCTTTTACTTGTCTCTTACGACAAGCAGAGAGTACTCTACACCCCCTACCCACGGGGGGGACTTATCCAGGGGAGGACCTACCCAGGGAGGACGTTGCAACCCTGACGCAACCCAATAAATATATAATATTAATAAGTGAAGTTCCAAATTAATTACTATTTTCAAGAAATAATTTTATTTACTGTATTTGTTTTATTAATAAGATAGCTAAACTTATAGAAATGAAAAATCTAGTTTGTTTGACGATTGCTAGGAAACAGCAATATTTTTCGTTGTAACTAATGATGAACATTTTGTTCCAAAAAATAAAACATATTGAATATTGAACGAAAACGCTATTTCGATAATATCTGTATCAAAACATAATAGAACAAAATTTGCATCAAGGAAAATAACAAAATCAAAAGAAGTCCCCATATAATCAAACTCTTTTATAAAGCAATCATATAATAAGCTCTTTCGAAAGCATTCATGCATGTTAATTATTCCAATTATTGGTCATATACTAATTAATCTATTCATTAGCACAAATCGAAGAATAATTTAAACGAAAAATTATTATTAATAAATCCGATAAGTGATTTAGTAAATTAAAATTATACACATACAAGGTGTCTAATATTAATAATTAGAAGAAAACAAAAAATAAAGAAATACTAAGAAATATTTAAAAATTTTTCTCTACTCTTCTACCATTAATATAATCATTATATTTTTATATAAAATTATATACTTTTAAGTTGAAAAAAAGAATATGTATAATTGCTTGTCGTTGAGTGTCTTTATTTTACCTACTGACTTGTTACAAAATCTCTTTTATATTTATTTTATTTATTTTCTTGGTTTACGCTTTCAATGGACATTTTTTTGATGATCTTCTGAGATCATCACATTTCTTAAGTTATTCTTAAATGTATTATAAAATGTTACTTCGAAATTAATATTTAAAAAAAAAATTGAAAATAATGTATAATATTATTAGTTAATATTAATAACAAAACACAAATTATATTTCAGGTAGATTCTATGTCGAAAAGATTGTTCTTAGAAACTTCTATTGTTGATATAACATTTTTTACTTCTCTCGATGAATGAGTACTAGAATACTAGAATTCCTTTAACCCTTTCGCTCCGATGGGCGTATATATACGTCTTCGAAGAATGACCATTCATGTACGTATATATATATGCTCTGAAAAAGTGGGCGCTCGGGTAAGAAGAGCGTACATATACGTTCATACCATATATACTTTGATTTCATATTTTACATGAAATACTTTTGTTAATCGAGTATCTGGCAACGCTACATGCAAAAAGAAAGAGCCGTTGACAAAATTGATATGGTTTTAAAATATGTTGAATGTATTCGTAAAAGTTTAAAATGGTACAAAAAATATTTTTTTCACGTGCTAGACATGGTTGTGTGGAATGCATATTGTCTATTCCAATCAGCAACTGCGACAAAATTACCGTTTGCCAAATTTCATTTAACTCTTATACGACAACTATTGCAAACATACGGGAAACAAAAATCAGATATGAAATGTTCAGTTGCACGAAATAATAATAATCCTGAAAGAGTTACTGAAAGGCATTTTCCGTCTATATATTTGAATGAGGCGTCAAAAAAAAATCCAGTTCGAAAATGTGTCGTCTGCAGTAAACGAGGAAAAAGACGTGAGTCGAGATACTATTGTTCACAATGTAATGTTGGATTATGTGTGGTTCCATGCTTTAAAATTTACCATACCAAAGTTGATTATTAATATTATGTTCGGCTTTTAAATACTTTAGTAATTTCGTTGTATTAAAAAATATTACATGAACATTATAATAAGATATTAAAAAAAAATAAATTTTGATTATACATTTTTATATTTTAGAAAGTAAGATGATATTACTGAATATAATAAATGTTATTGTAAAATTTAGAGAACAAGAAACGATTTCTAATTACTTCGTAGCATTCCGTACTTCAGTGTCAACTACTCAGTGATGCGGCCCGTTCACAGCAATCACATTGTAGCGAAAGGGTTAATATATATAATATTATTAAATATATAAACTAATTTATTTATTATTATTAATATATTGTTTATTATTATAACGCATTGTTTCAGGCAGATGCAAAAAAAGTAATGCACATATGAGAAGAGAAATCACATATTTTGTTTTTTTTTACAGAATACATATTGACTTTGTACTTATCAACTATTTTGTAAAAATGGACGATTATATATTGCCTTATGTCTCATTATAAGATCAATTTTTCAATTCACGCCCACTAATGGCGTACTTATTTACATAAACATATACAACGATACCGATGCTCTCAATGTTCTTTTAGTTTATTTTTTTTCTCACTTGTCATTATGTGTGACGATACACGTTTCGAACGATATTGGATGAACAGGTTTAAATGCCACACCATGTACAATACAGGATTGGTCGGAAATAAAAGAAGACGGAGATAATAGGCGTAGCCAAACGGCGATGGTCAAGCGAATCCTGGTTCGTGCCTTTCTCTTGACTAAGCTTCATTGACCATGCTTATCAGTTGCAACGTCATTATATAATATGCACATCATTGTTGCGCCTTGTCACTGCAACCACCGATATGTTCGGTGTTGCATTTTGTTTCGAAAAACGTATGCAAAATAATAAAAACAAAGGGTCTGTTGCTTAATAATAATAATAAAAAACTAATATATATGTTTACATTTGCACTATTGCAAAAATTATCGTAATTCCTCGTTCTTCGTTTATTTTGTCATCTGGTTTGATCTCAAGTGTTCTTTTTAAATGTTTTTAGAAATTGACAAAGAAAGAAACAAATACATTGTTAAAACTAATGGTCTTACTAAATAGACACATGAAGAGATTTAAATTTTAAGATTTAAATTTTAATAGTGCCTAAGACAAGAAGCGTGAATAGCTCGAGCGTTATCTTTTTGTGACACGACAGCAATGTTCTTTGACGAAACAAAATGGTAGGATTAAATTCATGACATCATGCATTATTTCATAAGTTATCAATGATACTCGTGTATCGATGAAGAGATAATATATTATACACAATAACGTTACAAATGAAACAAATCCTTGAAAGAAAAATTATTCTCAGGGTTTGGTAAAGTCTACGTAATTAATTCTAAGATAACTGGATCTGATCCAGTAAACTGTATAAATCTTTGGGTTTTTTTGAAGAATTCAAAAAAAAAGGAAAATAAGTCATTAAGCTGAGACATGATTACGATTATTTCTTTGTCATACATCAGAACATAGCTTTTCTCACAAACATCATTTTTCAGGTTCGATCGAGATAATAAATTTCTATGTATATATATATATAAATCGAATAACATATTTTTAAATAATATCGAGTCAAAAATAATAAGTAATATAAAAAGATAACTGTATCTAAAATGACCTAAAAGAAGTAACGCGCGGAAGGATTAGAGAAACGTATTAAAGTTTACACAAAATGTAGAACTATTTAAATTTGGCGCCTGCGCAATTATGCGAAATAGTTTAGAATAACTGAGAGAGAAAGAGTGAGAGAAGGAAAGATGATATGTGAAAATAGTTAAAAGCGCGGAAAAAGAGAAATAATTGAAAAAGATGAGACGTATGTCGAGTGAATAAAGACTGCATCACAGTAAAACAGATATTTTTATTGTAGTAAAAATAATAATAAAATTGAATCATTAACGGATAGCCCGCGATAATAAACATTATGTTATTTTGAATGATAATTATTACTGATGGATTATAATCAATGATATTTATTCATTATAGGAATAATTGTTTAAAAATCTATAGCTTATTTGTTTCTTCAAAGTAACGTGATAAATTAAAACTAAATACACAATGCATATCTATATATCGGACATATCAATGTTGATAAAATAAAGAGATTTACAACGGAAGAGCAATGAAATGCATATTTGAAATTTCCCTGCTAGCTACAATAGCGCCAAAACGGTACAATAGCAAAATTACGAAGTAACTGCTTGGTACAATCTGAGTTTTGTTCTATGAAACACGTGTAATAAAGATCAACAAAATTTCCCGTAACCTTTATAATTTTTAATAAAAATTGTCCAAAAGATATAATTTAATCATTGCAATAGGATTTAAGAATCAGAATAAATTTAAATTTCAAGTTTTTCGAATATTCTGTTTATTACCTGTTATACACATGCAATAACATATTCTTTTTATTTATTTCTTATTAAACATTCGTTTTTAAAAATTTTTTAAATCTATTTAACTTGTAATTTCGACTTAATGAATTAAAACAAAAATAATTATTATAATTACGTAATATTTCATAAGCAAGAATATAATGTTCACCCTAACTTACAATTATTTAACATTAATTAATCTGTGATCATATAATTAAGAAAACTATTCAAATAAACGATTGTGTAACAGTCACAAAAGTAGATATAATAATATAAAGTAAATACAATATCATATTGTTCAAGTTGATAATAACGTAAAAATTAACCTACAAAATATTTCCAGAGATAATATAAATAAAGCGGTTGTAGAAAAGCAATGATGATGAACTTACAACATAAAATATGGTTTGTATTCAATTTTTATTATAAAAAATAAATAAAATAATCTTTTTGTTGGTTATTTAATTTGCGCTTAGAAAAGTATTTATCAGTATGAAATTTTGCAGCATGGTATCTGACTTTTTTTATCCCAATATGGGTGGCGTTGAAGAGCATATATTTAATTTGTCACAATGTTTATTAGAACGAGGACATAAGGTTGTGATATTAACACATTCGTACAAAGATCGAATTGGTATACGTTATATGACCAATGGATTAAAGGTATAAATTTATATGCATAAGATTTTGAGATACTTTTAGCAAACTTTTGCTAAATTCAAACTTTATTTTTCTTTTACATTAAAGGTATATTATATTCCAGTCAAAGTATTTTATAATCAATGTATCTTGCCAACGATGATATGTTCTATTCCTCTAATTCGATATATACTTATTAGAGAAGAAATAGAGATAATACACGGACATTCTGCATTTTCTGCTTTAGCGCACGAAGGAATGTTAATTGGCAGATTAATGGGATTAAAGGTAATATGCAAATTTATTACAGTAACCTGTGATACATTTACTTATGAAGTATTATTAAAATGTTATTAAAATAAATTTTCTTTTTCAGACAGTATTCACAGATCATTCATTGTTTGGATTTGCAGATGCATCTGCTATTTTAACAAATAAATTTTTAGAAATTTCTTTAGCAGATTGTAATCATTGTATATGCGTATCGCATATAGGAAAAGAAAATACTGTTTTGCGAGCAAAAGTTCATAAAGAAAAAGTATCTGTTATTCCAAATGCTGTGGATACCATGCTTTTTACACCAGATATTAACAAACGTAATAATGATTTCAGTAAGTGTTTAATATTTATGTGTTTAAATTAGGTGTTTATTATATATTTTATTAAATTGTGTTATACATAATTAATTGGTATAATATAAATTTTTTGATTATTGCTTTTACAGTTACTATAGTAGTAATATCACGATTAGTATACCGAAAAGGTGTAGATCTCCTAGCTCATGTAATACCTGAAATATGTTTGCGACATAAAAATGTAAACTTCTTAATTGGAGGGGATGGTCCAAAACGATGGCTTATAGAAGAAATACGAGAAAGAAATTTATTACAGCACAGGGTTACGTTGCTTGGAAGTTTGGAACATGCTCAGGTCAAACATGTTTTAAATAAAGGTCATATTTTTTTAAATACTAGTCTCACGGAAGCTTATTGTATGGCAATTGTTGAAGCTGCCTCTTGTGGGTATGTATTTTTTTAAAGATATACATAAAAATTATAAAAACATTGCTTTTACATTACTTTTTTTTTCTTTTTAGTTTACAAGTTGTATCTACTAAAGTCGGAGGAATACCTGAAGTATTACCTCCAGATTTGATTTACTTGGTGGAACCAACAGTATCAGATCTTATTAAAGGATTAGAACAAGCTATGTCTGACTATATGAAAGGAAATATAAGTCATCCATTTGATGTGCATAGAAGAATAAGTTTATTTTATAATTGGTTCAACATCAGTAAAAGAACTGAAATTGTTTACAACTTAGTCTCAAATGAAGCAAAGAAAAATTTAGGTCAACAATTAACAAGCTATATTCAGAGTGGTGTATTACCATATCTGCTAGTTGTATCACTGTGTTATATTATATTAAAAATTTTAGAATATATAGTTCCTAGAAAGGTAAGATATAAGATTTTATATATATTTATAGTTAGATCGAAACATATGTGACCCAATGTATTTTCAGTATATTGACATTGTAAAGGATTATAAAGAAAAACATATAGCATCGTCAAAGGAGAGAAAATAGTAAAAAAAAAAAAGGAAATCTTTAGTAAAATTTATTCAATTATTTTATCGATTATTTATGATTTACCAAGGAAACATAAATCTTTTTTGGACCATTTGAACTAAATTGTCTTTTTATATCACTACACCTTTTATATAGTATACAAAAACTGTATGTATAAAGTATTTTTTATATTTATTAGAATTTTATACGAACGCATATTTCTTTGTAACATTTTACATTTTTATTATAAAATATTATATAATTAAAATTAACATATGTATCTTAACTAATAAATTTAATGAAATTAAATATAAGAAAATAATAGTTTATCAAAAGAAATTGTACATAATTTTGTAAATCTGCCTTAAGTGTTATGTGTTGGTTAGTGTTTATACACACAGTTTTGTATGTGTGTGTGTAATCTTAATAATACATTTTTTAATAATAAATTTTTTTATAATAGAAAAAAATAAATTATCCATTTTTTCTTTTAAGTTATTATTTTTGTAAGCTTATCTTCATTATATTTAATAGTTAAAATATGTGGTAATTTTTTATCTTTTATATTACCCTATGAAAAAGTATAAAACATGGCAAAGAAATATGCCTTTGTATAAAACAACGAATACTTTTTACACTCACTATATGTTTACTTTAAATACTTTTATAATCATATATTATTGTTAAAAATGTTTATAAAATAAATACAAAACTTTATAAGCAATAAAAATAATATATCCAAGATATAGATATTATTATTAATGTATAAGAAAAAAATATGAATTATACAATGTCTTATATAATGTTTTCCTTTTTATGATCTTTATCTTACCAGTAAAAGATGATGCAGCAACAGAATTTTTATGTAAAATGTATTATTATGTAAATGTCTATATTTTGTATTCAATTTTTTTTTCTATTATGTTACCAATTTAAGAAAAATTATATAAATTTCATTCAGAAGACAACGTTATTCAAACGTAAGTAAATATAAATTTTTAACAAATTCATTGTAAATATGAAAAATCAGTTATATCTAAAAATAAAAATTTTTTGAATTATGTAAAATATATAAAACGAAAAACAAAACTATCCAATTGAAAATATAGTAATATTTATTTTAATGTTTTCCATTAGATACAATAATAATATTGATACAATATCAATTATCTGTTTCTGCCTAATCATCATTGTATTACTGTACATTTATCTATTTATACATAAATCTTTCATATAAGGGCCAATGGAATTCTCCTAAAACTATTTTGTATAAATTCTAAGAGAAAACCAATGAACCTTAATTAACAATCATTATAATATTATGAGCGGTCAGATCTGTTGTAACATTCCGCGTAAAGAGTAGAGTATCCGTGCCATGTTATCAATCTATAAATTCAATTAGAAACAAAAAATTAAAAGGCTAAAAATATTTATGCATCATGAAATCAGATAGTTAAATTTTTCAACATAACATTTATGGTTACAAGTAAAACTACAAAATTATTTAATTTTATTTAATATATTAATTCAATCTTGCAACGATTCCATAATGCTAGCTATTCGATTGAAAACAAAAATTAAAAAAGTCATGTTGGTAAGATCCATACATAGACAAGCATCATTATTAATGATTATTATTATTATTTCTTATATTTTCGATAATGTCTTGTAAAATTATTAACAAATATTTGAATTTTTTTATTTTGTACATTATTTTCACTGCAGTTACAAATACAAATGATTAGTTCTTAGAACTTATTAAATAATAAAGAATTCTTATTCTGCAGATAATACGAAATTGTATATCTATATTTCTAAAAAAAAGAAAAACAAAAAAGAAAACACTGCCATATTTATAAACATAAGTTACTATTGTACAGGTTAGTATGCGAAGCACAGCAAGAGCAATCTTGCTTGCAACTTTTTTTTTCATTCATTTATTATTTAGAAACAATATAATATTACATGTAACATTTTCTTACGATAGTATAATTATATCTATTACCATACGAAAAATTTCTTTACTGCAGAAAAAGTGCGACTTACTGTTTTTTTTTTAAACGGTTTATGAAATATAATGTAAAGCAGAATTTTTATGACATTTTCTAGAAAGTAAGAAATCCATAGGATTCATATATACGACATGCTCGATTGCTTAACACTGATGCACATTATGATGTGCTCTGTACAAAAATGATATATGTGTGTGTGTGTGCGTGTGTATGTGTATGTGGGGAGGGGTATGTGTATGTGTGTATATATATATATTTCCATGATTTTAAATAAATTTTAACAATGTTAAATTTATCGTTTAATACCTTTACAAGCACATATTGCTATCGACTGCGATGTTTCTATGTATACAAGTTATCGATTGACATAAATTCTTTGTATTTCGTCTATGTACTAAAATGATGATGATGAAATTTTATAAAATTTTTTCAATGTTAGATGTCGCATATCTAAAGCAAAACATTTTCAAATTATTTAATAAATTGTTATTAAACAGTATATACAATGGGTATAATTAGATACACAATCTAGCTTCAATCGAATAAAGAAATAATAATGCTACGCCATACAGGTTCAAAGGTTCCCATTATAGAATAAAATGAATTAAAATCGGTTCTAGTAGATATTATCTTTACAGAAAAATTGGTTATGCTTTATAAATTGATTATACTCACAATGGAATCTTTCGAACCTTTTGTATGATCTACAATAAATAACGAACCGTTTGATGAATTGAGCACTGCACAATTTCCTCAATTTTAATAGCAAGAAATGCTCTTAAACATCTTCTCCGTAGTCGCGATCTCCAACATTTATACGATCAGGTGCTGCAGTTACACTAAACCCAAGGATCCTATTGTCCACTTTAAACATTTTTCCTTTCTTGGGTTTCTTAGATTTTCCCTATATAAAAAAATTATATATGAAAAATATTTAAACGTTTTAAGACGTTTATAATAAAAGTGATGCCTGTAAAAAATACCTTAACTTCCTGAAATTCAGTGGGAGCATTCGGATTTACAGCTGGTGCAGGTTTACACAAATTATCTACCTGCGCTTGAGGTCTCTGTGCTGAACGCCATTTACTTCTTTTTTCTAAAAATTGCTTTGCAAATTCCGTGCATTGTTTACTATCGCCAAGATATACACGTACATATTCTTTTACTTCATATGGTGATTCAAGATCCCGTAAGAAAACAACAAATGTAGGGACTAAATATACAAATTATACATATAAAAACAAATAGAAATTAAAAAATTAATAGTTACAATATGAATGGACTACTACTCACTGTGAACAGAAGTTTGTATAACACTCAAAGCCTTGTAGCACCATTGTGTAAAGTCGTCAAGCTTGGCAGTATTTTGTTCGAATAATTTTTTTACTAGTTCCTCTTCTTTTTTTACTTTATTTTTAGTTGATTTATTATTCTGTTGTTGAGGCTGTTGATTAGAAGTAGATTTTGTTGCTACTGGTTTTGTTGTCTGTTTGGTAGTAAGAGATGATCTCATAGTTGTAGGATCATCCCAAAAACCGCTAGTACTACTATTAGTAGACCAAGCTTGATTGTTACTGGATGAGCTAGAATTAGTCCAATTCAGACATTGTGATGCTGTGCCCCATATACCGGCATTAGGAAGAACATTAGCCGACTCTTTTTGTACTACTTTTTCATGTCTTTCTTTTTCTTGTTGCTAAAAGTTTATTTAATATAATAATATTTTATAATATATCAAATATCTTCCATGTACTAACATTAATAAAATTTTACACTTACCTTATATAATGTTTTATATATTATATATCATTTGTTTAACAATTATTTTGCTTAAAAATAATTTGAATGGTTTGTAATATTGAATATTAAATATTTGTATATGTTTACCTTAGCAATGCGTTCCTGCTCTTCTTGTTGAATTTGCGTAAGACTTTTTACTTGAAGAACTTTATTAGAAGATGTGGCTTTTTCTGCCCACTTAAACTGTAACCGTTTGGATGAATCTGTTACTGCTGCTTCTTGCACTGCCTCTACAGCTTTTTGTTGTGCTAATTGTTGTTGCATTAATTGTTGGTATCGTTGCTCCTCCTATAATAATTAAAATTATTAAGAAAAAAGTATTACTAAAATTGAAATATTTATTGTTAAATAGTTAATTACAGCTTTTTTCTCTCGTTCTAGCCTCTGAATTTCTGCAAGTGAAGCATGAGTTGTAGGAGCAGGTGTACAAGGTGCTTGAGCCCATGGTGCTTTACTTCTTTCTTGAAGTTTACGAAGAGCTTCCGCTTCTCGACGTCTTTGTTCAGTACGTCGTGCCTGTTCTTCAGCTTCGAGCAGCTTGCGTGCTTCTGTTTCTTTTCTGAAATAACAATAATAAAATTAAAATATTATATAAAAAAAGAATAATATAAGTCCTTTAATGCAAAATTGGTGTAAGTAAATTTTTTGCCTATTTGATTTAACACCACATCTCATTAATTTAATCTTCATTCTATCTCGTGTAAGAATAATATTAGAGTCTAGCTTATTAGTTTCTCGGTATGATAACTGGACAAATAAAAAACGTTCACTGAAAAGTTCGATACAGCAGTAGTGCAAATCCAAAAAATATTGAATAAAATAATTATGTATCTTATTTTCAAGAAAAAACGACATTATCTTATCTTAAGGTATGAGTTTACAGTAGTTTACAAAAAAAAAGGTAACATTCTTCGATATTATTGGATTTTACATAAGTTTTACTTCATCCGCCATTATCCACCGATCAACTTTTTTGACTTTTATATTAAATAGTTCATATATACAATAACAATACATTATAAAATTAGTATACTTGATTCTTTCTTCTTCCTGTTTTCTTTGTTCCTCTTCTAATTTTTTCTTTTTCTCTTCTTCTTTCTTATGTTTTTCTTCTTGTTTTTTAATTTCTTCCCGTTTTCTTTTTTCTTCTTCCTGCTTCCTCTTAATATTTTCCTCTTCCTGTTTTCGTTTTTCTTCCTCTCTTTTTTTCTTTTCTTCTTCTTTACGTTTTTTCTCTTCCTTTTTTTTTTGTTCTTCTTCCTGTTTCCGTTTTTCTTCTTCTTTCCGTTTCTTATCTTCTTCCTTTTTTTTTCTTTCTTCTTCTTTTCGTTTTGCCTCTTCCGCTTGTCTAACTTGTTCTTCTTCCTGCTTTCTTTTAGCTTTCTCCTCTTCAGCTTGTCTTTGTAATTCTTCTTGTTTTCTTAATTCTTCTTTCTTTCTTTGTTCTTGCAATTTAAGATTCTGTTCTTCCTAAAAACAAATAAACACATTTAATGATTTTTATTATACATTAATAAGAATTACTATATAGTGAAGGTATTTACTAGTATTTGTTGTTCCGTTTTTATTTCTTTAGTATGCAAATTCCAAAGTGTAGTAGGTAATTGTCCAGGTGGTACTGCAGGTATAGGTCCCACCTATAATATATATATTCTAAACAAAACTGTACACATTATACATACAATTCAATATATAGAAACATACCTGTGTTAACCAATTCTGAGCATTAAATTGTGGAGTTATCTGTGGAGGTGAATGTGGCCAAACAGTATCGATATGAGATGTTTGTGGATGTCCTGTTGCATTAACATTAAGCTGCCGTAGCAATGATTTTATAGGATTATCTTCTTGAGATGAAGCAGAATTTAAATTTGATTGTGAAATTGTAGGTACATTTTGGATACCACCCATTTGTTGAATGAGTTGCTGTATAGGATCAATCTGACCAGGGTGTCCTGCAGTGTTGGTTTGTGAACTAGATGGTAGATGAGGTTCGGGTTGTACCTTTGCCTGCCATAGTTACAATACCATGCAAATATTTTATTCATATAACATTAATATACACACAAATGTACAATAATAAATATTTTATTAACCTGTTGCATTTGATTGAATAACTGCATAACAGGATTTGACGGTGATGGTGTAAGATGAGGCACAAATGGATTTGTAGAAATTGGCATATCTGGTATTTCAGAATCCTGAATAACATATTGGAGTATTAACTGGTTTTGTTCGATAGGGCTTAAAGTTGCCCAATGTTCAGATTGAGAAAGTTTAGCTATAGCTGATGTTCTCATTTGTCTTAACAATATTTGTTGATTTTGTAATAAACGCATATGTTGATACTGAAGTAAAAGTAAAGGATCTTCTATTCCAGACTTTGGTAAAGCAGTAGCAGTTATACCTGCAGGTACTGTACTAGGAACAGAAGGTATTACTGGTTCGGATAACTGAAAAGAAAGATTTCATTAGCTTAACAAATTTAAGATAAAGAATCTTGCTTTCATTGCATTATTTAAATAATAATGATCTATATATGATGTAATATACAAGTTGATCATACAAAGTATTCTATGCAAATGTTGCAACGAATTTTCGGACTTCCCTCTTATTTGAGAAATAAATACTTTAAACAAAATTTTTAGTACTATATTCTTCGTATATCATTTATCAACATTAGCATTCTTTTACTTTTATCTTTTATATATCCAAAAATATAAAGAATAATTTTATTATTTTTAATTAAATTATAAGTCTTTTTATATGAAAATATAATTATAAATGTATTTATTTCCATTGGAATTTACTGTGATGCAATCTCCACTTTAAAAAATAATATAAATGTGCGTGCATGCGTACACGTGTGCGTCTGCATTCGTGTATGTGCATGTGCATATATTTCATTAAGAAAGCTCGAATTTTAAACTTAAATAAAAACAAAGATTATATTTATAATATTATAATATCTTTCATTTGATTTTAAAATACATTCCATATCATTATGTATGAAAAATAGTATCGACTAAGTAGTTGTCAAAGCTCTTTATGATATCGTATATTCTGATGGACTAATTTGATCAATGACGCGAGTGATGTTGGTTTGTAATTTGTCATTTGCCGCGATTTGTTGGCATAGATCAGAGATTAATGTAGCCCCCACAAAAAATAATCTGAAAGTGTTAGATCACACGATCTCAGTGGCCAGTTGACGTCATCATCTCGCAAAATAATGTCTTTCGAATCCTTTAAACTTTTCAGTCAGTAAGTCCAATATTTAACAATAGATGACTTAAAGGCTAACATCATTCGTGTTAATGGTGAAATTGAGCTTCACTTATGCGCGAATGCCATTGAAAATATAAGTACCAGAACGCATACCACCTTACACAAGAGTTACAACGACCACTTGGCCGATATTATTTTTTATACGTAATGTTATTGAATGTATTTTAAAATCAAATAAAAAATATTATAATATCGTAAATATAACTTGATTTATTGAAGTTTAAAGTTCAAGCATCCTTAATGGAAAAACCTCTATATATATATATATATATATATATATATATATATATATATATATATATATATATATATATATATATAGACACAAATAATTAAGGGATTATTACGACATCTACAAACTTCAGTAGTGAAAATTTATTTTCTTGTATTTCCTAATAATTTTAAAAGTTTTAGGAAATTTGCTTAATGTAAAGATTTACATTTCGTCTAAAACATTATTTTTCTAAGCAATTTAAATACATACATGATATAATTCATATATACAATACTGACTTATTTATCCAATTTACTATATGGCTTTAATAGATTAAAACTATAATTAAAATTTATTAAAAAATAATTACTTTCATGCAATGAATCATTATATGTCTTGATTACGTAATTAATAATTCATTTCGCATTTTAGTTTCTATTCCTTTACATATTCACAATTCATGTACAATCTCCGAATCTCTTCTACTATTATGCGATAAATCTTACATATAGTAAAAATTATGATTTAATTTAAAATAATAAAGATATTCTTTATACATGTCAGAAAAAAAATAGATATAAGAAAATTGTGATACTACAAAATTATACATAAAATAAAATTAAAGATTTAATTTGAGATGTTTGTTTTTCAAAAAAGAAGGAAAACCTGAAATTTTATGGCGACATTTACATGAGATATTACGCGCGCGAACGTACGTATAGATTCTTCATTTAAAACATAACTCTTGAAAATATTGAACAAACAATAATTACCTTTAAGGGAGGAATGGATGGCCCTGGAATAAATGGCACTCTTCCACAAATTTTCATTAACTCCCCTAAAGTAGTATATCTCTCATCACAAGTCCTTCTTACCATTAACCCCGCAGTAAAGTATCCAGCCTTACACCATTCAGCCATTTCACTTGCCAAAAATGGACCTTGTACTTCACCTTGTGGATCACGATAAAACCATTTTTCTTGTACATTCGAAGTTGTTTGTTGATTGTTGATAGATGGGGAAATAGTTGCAGCTTTCTCTCTATGGCTTTCTTCATCAGCCATCAATTTGGCCACTAAAGCATCAGCTTCTTCCTTCATTCTATCTAGATCATCTTCAGATTTCTTCACATTATCTATTACTGAATCATGTGTAACCTTTTGTGATTCGGTTTGTACGGATACTTGTCTATTCACAGTAGACACCACTATATCCTTATTAACTTCTGGTTCTACAGTTCCTCTGTCATGTATCACATTTGAACATTTATTATCTGCATCATTTGGTTGAGTTTTATCATTTTCAGTATTATTTGTATTTACATGTGTCATAGTAAGAGAAGCAGACGAAGATGTAGATGATAAGCTTTTTGCTGAAGTATTGCTAGATGTTGAAAGTACTACTTTACTTGGAGAATTACTAACGTCTCTTTCTGTAGCGTTATCTTTTTCTTCCTGTAGACGAACAGATTTTGGTTTTTCCCTATGCTTTGTACCAGTAGAATCATTTGTATGATGGCGATTTTCTACTTGTCCTTGGCCTGTGCCATATGGCACAGATTTGTTAATAGATTTCGATGTAATGGAAGCATTTCCTTCAGAGACACGTCGAGTCCTTAACTCTTGAGAATTACGTACGCTAATAATTCCTTCATCATCATCATCTGAATACATTCCCCCATGAAATGCCCCTGAAGCATCAAATCGTCCACCACTTTCACTAGGGTTTTCAGTCGCCCTAATATATAAATAAAACTTTAATTTGATTTCATATTTCAGAAAGATTTAATACTATCACTTATAAAATACTAGAAAATTGATTGCAATATATAATATATCTAATCACCATTCTGGAAGATTGTCATGATTATCATGATGATTAGATTCCCACGTACGCGCAGTACGAGGTGGAGGAATATGATTTGTTTCGTGAGACCTGTGACTTCCACGGAATTCCCATCTTCCACCACCAGTACCACTTCGACTTTCTTCACCATCACCTTCATTTCTATCCAGTCTGTCCCTATCTATACTGCCCCCTTCACGCCAACTGTTTCTACCTACGAACAAAATACAAATACATATAATTCTGAAATTATCTAAAATAGGGAAAATTTACTTACCCCACTTACGCCAACCATCATCATCTTCTCCGCCATTTCGATGTCTTCGCCAATTGCTTTCCATAAGAGAACTTCCACTAGTCCCACGAGATAATTCTTTTCTAGGACTAGTAGAACCATTCCATTCAATTGGATCAGAAGATCCATTTCTTTCTGACCAACCTCGTTCACTTTGAGATCTATCAAATGGTCGACTTCTTCCCTAAATAATAATATAAAACAATATAAAATGTATAATTGAAAAGTTAACAAAATTATTTTTATTTCTGTCTTAACGAACATTTGTTTCAAAAATATATTACATACTTGAAAAGACTGGCCTGAATCAATGCGAATTATTTCACCCGAATCCTCAAAACCAACTGCTCTAGAATAATGAGAAGAATACAAACTGCCTCTTCCATTTCTACTTCTCCCTCCACGATCTACACTTCCACCTCTTCCACGGCCTCCAATATTAGTCACGCCTCCATTCCACATACGCTAAAAATTGCATATGTAGAGTATATTAGTTTCACACTGGCACACATACATATGAATGTTAATAATATATCAATATTATATTTATATTCCATCAATTAAGTGAATCAAATAAATTATATTTATATTTCAATAAATAAAATTTATAATGTTTAGCAATTAACATCAGGAATTATTTTTCTAATTTCAGATAAAAAATCTATTGGTTTGACTTACTGTTTCATCTTCTGTCATCTGTATAAGAGCTAGTGGAAGTTGAGTTTTTTCAACATATAATGTTGAAAATGTTATCAATGGTTCAGGTGGCTTATAATTACGGTCAAACAAAGCCAACATCTCTTCTCGTCCATATCTATGCTCCGCTAATTGATATCGAGGAGTACTTAAAGTTGAAGTACTTCCACTAGTACCACTACTATTAGAATTTTCTCCTGAGAGATTGCGCAACCTATTTTCATGGATATGTATAATATATAAGTATTTGCTCATTTATCATTAACTTTTATTTTTAATGATATTGTTCTAATATCATAAAAAGTCTTGTGTTGATATTAAATAATGTAAATATTAATAAATATTATTTTATATATATTACATACCATTCAGGACCAAACTTCATAGAATCCGTCATGACGAATTATTTGCTAAAAGAAAAAAATGAAATAATACATAATTTATGTATTAATAAAAATATAATGTAAAGTCATACAAATCATTTTTGTTATCAAAGAATATTAGCATATGTATAAATTTATACATATATAAATAAAAAAAAAACAAATAACTATTAAATATATGAATAATATAGAAAATATTGTATTACTTAATGTAAAACATATAGAATTTATACGAATCAAAATTTTTTTGTAAAATCTTATGATATCATATGGTAGATATACAAGAAATTTTATAAAAGGAAAGTTACGACCAAAAAATGAATAATATAATAAAAAGAAGAAAATGAATAGTCTTGTATGGTGATATTACAATAAAAATTATTAAAATTGTTATTAAACATCCAAGGATGAAACTTTCTTTTTTAAAGATAAATGAAAAAGAATAAAATAAAATAACAAAGTGCACAACAGACGGTGGAAATGGCATGTTACAAGCAGTTTTCTCTAAGATGCTATGGTCATAAAGTTACCTTTAATAGATAAACAAAGATATTAGATATGACATATCATATAAATAATCTCAGTGGAGCACATGCTACATCTTTATTTATGACATATTCTTTAACGATACGATTTTCTAAGCCAAGGTGGCAATATTAACCAAACTTTTTTGTCGATAGTTGTCACATAAAATCCCGAATAAAAGATTAATTTATATAGAAAAATCTTGAAACAGCATTTATTAATGTTATATAAAATAATAATAATAAATCTTTAAACAGATAAAACAAATACCTTTGTGATCTTTGAAATAATTGAGAACAGCGATACAACACACCAATATGGCTGATGATTTTTTGGAATAAAGCGCATGCGGATGTAGGTGGCATGTCTGAACATACAAAATTCTTCTATGGTTCAAGACTCTAACCAAAAAGGGTTAGATAGAGCGGATACTCGTCATAAATTTTAACGGCATTATCGATGCAATTTGAAGAATATACTTTATTGTCTGAATACGTATGGTCTGTGCTTGTATGAATTCTTTTTATTTAAACAATTTCGTATTGATTATTGTTGATTTTAATTGGTTGTCTCGATACGATTGCACGAAAGCACCATTACGTCAAATTTATATTAATATGGTAAAAATATTTATGTACGTAAGTTATTGATAGCTTATAAGTGCTTTTATAAGTGCTTAAAACTATAGCATGTTAAACCACGTGTATCCAAAAATTTTGTAGGAAAAATACTTATACAGCAAAAATACTTTTGTCTTTTTCTTTCTTTCTTCTTATTGATTATGAATCTTAATCTAAAAATGCATTCTTAATTTCATGATTAGATTTGAAAATATATTTCTAGATTCTTGGTTCGGACTAATTCTGACGTATTTCGATTATCTCTTTGCTAAAATTGTCTCATAGCATTACAAATCAAATGGAAATTATAATACTACATCAAAGGTATAAAATGTATTCAATAATGTGCTGTTACTATATGAAAGTACATTTCATATAAAAGCAATCTCTCCCAAAAATAATGTTTCCGATTTTATTCGAATTTAAATATATTATAATCTTTAGTTCTGAATAAATGCAACCTAAAATGATATTTTAAAATATTAAACATTGTGGAAGTTAAAACTATTATATCCTCTTTCCAAAAATTGTATTCTTAAAACTGTATATTTAATAAAAACTATTTTTTCTTTTGTAATTAATAAGGATACAACTGTTTAATAAAAAATACAAATGCAGCAAATATTGTTATTTAATGATATTTTTTTTTATTTATTACAAAAATTGTACAGGACATATATAAAAAAAATTTTTTCAAAATCTGTATAAATTACAATATATTCTTTAAATATTTTCCTTTCGATTTACAATTAAAAATATCTAAAAATATTTTAAACAAAGGCATTATATATAATATATTTAATTCATATATTTATATATTCTTATATATTCTTCATGTATGTTTGAATAAACCATTGGCTTCTAGAAACTGCCTACTTTTTTTATTGACTCTGTCTTGTAAAAGAGTTCATCATGCACGTACATTCCTCAAAAATAATATTAATAATTCCATTTAGGTTTTGAAGATGTTCATAAATTTATAACAATCAGAATAGTGTAATTATTAATATGGTATCAACATGTATATGTTATTTGCTATTTATATTATTATATTATTATTTGAATCTGAGTAGATTAAACCTTACTTTATAAACAGGTGATTCATATTTGATAATAAAACAACTTATTTTAATTTCTTAATAGATAAAAGTCTTTGAAAAAATCTGAAAAAGTTCATATATCATCTTTAAACTTTTTAAATTGAGATTAGAATAAAAAATTTAAGTAATATTAATATACAAATTTTTTCTAATTTACCATTTCGATTATTATGTCTTTTCCCTACTATCTTTTTATATTTTCTGAATGTTGATTTTAATTGATTTATGCACCTTAGATTCATTTTTTTTTTTCTTTTTTTTTTTTTTATAGCAAAATCAAGGCTAATATATTTTTTCTAAAAAATTTATAATTTGTTAATTTATTATTCAGCATAATTCAAAAATCACGTAAGATATATCTATTGATAATCGTTTGATCTAACAATTCATACAAAATCTCAATAGCTAACAGTTTGTTTTTCGTACACATATATAAGGTGTCCTGTGAAACTTGGTCGAACTATATCTTTGAAAGGATTAGAGATCGAAAAAAATATCATGACAAAATTAAATGGTATTAAACGCTAAATAATTCTGTAAAACTTTCATGCATTTTTGTGCATCAATGCAGTTGCAAGATGCAATTGCACTTTTGTAAAAAATAAAATTCTAATTGAAATGTTTAGAATGGAAGACCATTTGAACATCTCTTGTAGGGTAAGTAGTGTAAGAAATAATAAAATACTTTATCAAAAGTGATTCATATATACAAATAATTTGAAATTAAATTATTTGTATTATGAAATTAAAATAACACTTAAACTAACAATTTTCAGACATAACATTATGAACATGTTTTATAGAGGATGAAAACTGCATCAATTAATATATTAAAAATTAGAGTTTTATTGCTTAAAAAAGTGCAATTGTACCTTGAATCTGTAACGATGCACAAAAATGCATGAAAATTTCATAAAATTGTGTAATGTTTAATATCATTTAATTTTGTTGTATGATATTTCTCTTGATTTCGAATTCTTTTAAAGATGTAGCTCGGTAGTTCCATAGGATACTCTGTATATGAAGAACGAAATTGGTCAAATATATCAGTGCTACATTTTTCTCCGTTATAATTTATAATTAAAACTTAAAGTTTTTAATCCGCTAAAAATTTCATGTCTTTTCAACTTTATAGAGCGAAGATAATAAGGATACTACTTTGTCCTTTTTTGAACAGTTTTAAACTAGAATATTGTTGGTATAATATTCATATATACTTGTAGATGCTGTTTTTGCTTAAATGATACGAATATATCTCTTTTATTTTTTCAAATGGAAAATTTAATAAAAAAGAAACTCATTCAGTTTAAAATTGAAAATTACTAAAATGCTGTATTTATGGGAGACTCAAACCACTATAACTACTTTTATAATCAAGAATTCAATTTGCGGAAAACTTGCGAGCAAGGTTTTACTCTAATAGTATGAAACGATAGCACTGTAAGAAAAATCATAGGAGATGAAAAGAGTAATAAAGAAAGTGGAAATGGAAAAGAAAACATATAAAGGAAACAATAAAAGGATTATAAAAGAATGAAGAAATGGACAAATCATTATTTAATTATTTAATCAAATCAAAGTTTTTGTCAACAGAAATAATAAATTGGATTAAAAATAACAATATTTATTTTAAAAGCTTGTCGATAGTTGTTAACTTTCTGAAAATAATAAAATGAAAATAAAAAATATTGTCATCTTCGAAAATATTTACCTCCTAAAATAAGAAACAATAATAAAACATAATTGTGTTTAAGAAAAAACAACACTATATAACACAAACGTCCAAATTTTTCAATTATTATGAAACTTTTTTTATTTATAACTATTTGTAATCGCTTAAAAAAAAGATGTTACTTCTTTTCGATGATAACTAAAAAATATAATAAATTGAGCGCCACTTCAACTAAGTTCGATTAACTCGATCGACAATGTAGCAAAACAGAACTTTTAACTATATATCATTCTTAACCTATATTTATATGATATCAATAACCATTTAAAAATGTTATATATAGTATAAGAATACATATATGAATTCTCTTAAGGCTGTTCACTATCTTTTCTTCAAAGCTCATGTAGCTTCAATGACAAATATGGACAAAATATGAACTACGAAACAAGCAGGGAACGCTGTCCTCCTCATGTCAATATCATATCAGTATATAAGCTTGTTTGGTTATTCTTCTTCACATGTACATAATAATTGGTTTCGTGTGAGTTAAAGTATTCAGTAGGCTGTTAATTCACATTTTTCAGTTTCTCATAAATATGTTTTTCTTTGATGGTAGCATGCGTCTTGTAGATGGTAGATGCGTGCTAGATACGATGTCGATATACATTTGATTAACGATAAATACATAAAAAATAAAAATATAATTGTCACATATAAGAATTAGTATATAAATCTGCGACAAGGACTAGTGCCCTTTATACTACTTCAACTATTACAACTACTATTATTACTATTACTACTGATAATAATAATAATAATAAAAATGTTCTTAAATATTATTTGTATACATCTAGATATTATTTAATAAATTTTATATTATAATAGTAAAGACAATTAGCTTCGACTGAATATAAGTAAGAAAGTGTAAAATAAATACATAACGATCATAAGTTAGTAAAATAAGAAGAAACGATAGTAGACGAAAACAAAAGAAACGTTTTTTCATATCGCATTACATGGGCAGTTGTCATGTATCCACACGATTTGTTGAAAGTTCGCGCGTTAAACACCATGTAAAATGATAAATTTTTTCTTTTTTTGTTATCATAAATATTTCATCATCATGTGTCATGATATATACAAGTATATTCTTCTGTTTCTTCTTATTACTGTTCTTATTACTATATTATTATATTACATATTATTATTATAACTATTATTATTATAGCAATAATATGAAGTGAACTTCTACAGAAAAAACAAAATAGGACTGGGAGAAAAATCTCCTTGATAATATGGAAACGAATTCGTATTTTGATCTTTATTAAAAATAATATATAATATATATATTCACTAATTGTTAATTTTGAACAAATAATCGATAAATGTAAATTTTATATACATTTGTCATCAAACAAAATTATACTGCTGTTGTGTCCTATCTATCATACATCACCGTGAAATTTATGTCAGTCATCAGTGGAAAAAATAAATATAAGAAATTGGATAGTAATACCTTATTAAGTTATTAAATAATAAGGAGAAAAAGAGTATAATTAATTCATTATTTTCGTTTACATCGATGCAATAAAAAAAATCACCGAAATCATTGAAGCCTCGAGAGAACCCAAGATTTTCTGAATTACGAATAGATACTTGCCAATGTGCTATACATTGATTATAGAATCTCTATCTTATTAGTCAATAAAACATAATTTTTCCAAAATTTAACGATACTTTAGAAATTCAAATCCCTTGACATAAACGATTGCACATGTATATTTTTGTCATAAAATCATCTAGTCAAAGCTTATTAAAATGATCGAGTGAGTTACCGTAGCTTCTCCATTGAGCATTGTGAAACATATTTCTTTGCGTTCGAAAATGTTCAAAAACTATTTACGCACATAATCAAGCAAGCAATCGCTACTTCACATATAACACATCATTCAAGCGTGATATGAAAATCAGTAGTGAGAGTACGAGTTTCATTTCTTTTGCCACAAATTTCGAGGTGTACTACAGTACTACATTTTTTCTTCACAAAAAATGTTAAAAACATCACTTATGCCATCAATAAAAACAAGTAATTCTTGACCAATTTTGATGATCAAGATCTCTTTTTGAAAAAGATTTTTATTTGTGTATAAACTATTCTCGAAAAATATCTTTTAACATGATTTTTTTTTTTCGAATAAAAAACAAACTTTTTTAAAAATTTGAAACTAATACGCCGTAGATTAAATCTTTAAAATGAAACTTTGTTCATCAAAATCAGTCAAGAATTACGCCTGTACTTATTAATATATACAGTCTTATTTGATTTTAATTAATATTCTGTTTGTTCTGTATTATGTATAAACTTTTTAAATAGTCATTGATATCACAAAAATATAGGTTAAGAACAACATACAATTGATGATTTTACTGTTTTGCTACACTGGTGATTCAATTAATCGTTGATTAAAGTTAACCAAGTTTGGCCTTAAGATGCACAACAAACAGAAAAAAAGAGAAAAGTAATAAATAAAACTTTCTTCACATTAGCTTGACTCGTACGTTCCGGAATACTTTAATTGGTTGTTATCCGATTTTTTGTCCAACTTACTTTTACACTCGATTATGACGCCATCTAAAGTTATATAAACACAAATATTTAGCGCTTAGAACTTGAACCTAATTCTTTGACGAAAAACTTTTATTGTGGACACAAGATCTTTAACTAACACAGGATATAGCTAAGCCTGCTTTAAGTATTCAAAACATGAAAACGACAGCAGCGCGCTCATGTCCTCTTTCATTGTGTTCAAAATACAACAAAAATGTAGACATTACTTTAATCTTGAACTAGAAGTCAATAAAGTAACGCTATTGCATTTATAGTATTAGTGTAAAATGAAACGTTATGTGTTATCTAGCACAACTTTTTAGCGTGTTTTTTTTACTTTCTTTATTAATTTTACACAGCAATGCTGCCGATTACACATATGAAATTGACTGTAATAATTTACGAATGGGACAATACATCTGCCCTCATCCCGATTATGATTTCATAGATCAAAAAACTCAACAACCTAAAGGGTGTACGAAAGAAAATAAAGCCAGGGGTAAATTTACTTATATATTTATATATTTCCTTATAATATGAATATTATTTATATTTGTAATACGTATATTTATCAATTACAGTATTAACCTTTACTAAATATTTTATAGATCTTTTCCTAAAATGCTTTTTATTATCGTACACTTTGTAGACTTATGCCAAGAACAATACAATGATAAGAATTGTAAAAACTTGATGTTTCTTAAATTATTCATTAATTTTCATAAATAATGTATTTGAATTTTATTTTTTAGTATTGTGTCTAGCTGCAGATGGCCTTATTTGTACAGAAACGAGAAATAATACTTTTAAAAAGGATATACCTTGTAAATGGACGTATGTATATATATATATATATATATTAAGATCGTTTTAATTGAAAGTCACTATGTTTCATATCAAATATTTTCTTATAATCATTTACAGTAATGGATATTCCTTTGAGACAACTTTACTGTTGTCTATATTTTTGGGTATGTTTGGTGCAGATCGTTTTTATCTTGGATATCCAGCACTTGGATTGTTGAAATTAAGTACTTTAGGTTTTCTCTTCCTGGGTCAATTCGCAGATGTAATACTAATAGCAACACAGATTGTCGGACCAGCGGATGGTTCACATTATGTTATGCCATATTATGGTGCCGGAATTAATATTGTCACAAGTAATAACTTCACATACAGAGTGCCACAATATGATAGCTAAAAGAACAATTGCAGCACAGAAATAATAATTATTTTAAGAAATTGTGTAGCTTTTGCTTCTGTCACGAGCAACGATGTACAATCCTACATATGAGTCCTATTCTAATATATTTTGATGTATTATTCTCTATATAATGTTATAATAAGTCTTATAAAAAAAAGAAGCTACCTTGTAGATATGTTTTTCAATGAAAAATTGTATATAAATATTTGTTTTTAATTTGCTTCCTGCTACCAACATATTAAGTCAATAAATTTTTGTTTTTATTTATAAATGATCTATTTTAATTTTTTAATTTTAAGTATTTTAATATTGTAAATTTGTATTTTTATTTATTCATGACATTGATATTCGTTTTCATTTTTTTTTACAATTTGACGTGAACTGCAATCATTTGAAGAGTTGACTGATATAATATCTCTTATTTTATTTCGTTCCTTTTTTAGATCAGCTATGCAATATTGGAGCTTCATATTTTCATCCAAAAACGTAACGACACCATCATATTTCTGTAGATCTTCAAGAGTATAACCAATAGTTCGACGGTTAAGTAACCATGGTACTGGAGGAGGTGCTTGAGGCGGTGGTCCAGATTTCATTGGATAAGGTGCTCGATATTCAATTTCTGTCGTGGTTCGATAATCCATGCAACGCATTTCTTCAGAACTATAGATTATATCTTCTAACTTTGGTTCTTTCTCTTGCTCTTCCCTTCTATTAGAAATTAGAAGCTTTTTAATCTCTTATATATTACATGAATATATATATAAGTTTTACTTACTCGGTCCTTGCAAAAGATAGCATTTTAAGAAAACCTCTATGTGGTTGAATCGATTTGTACAAATCCTTGAAATCTATTTGAGATAGCATAGCATGAGTTTCAGATATACCCATAGGTTCATCGAATGAACCTAATCGTCTATAACTTGATTTCTGAAGATTTCCTTTTGGTGGAAAAATATCTTTATTATCTTTTGGTTCTGCTAGTGTATTCATTTGCCTATACAAAAGCACAAAATATTATAATATTCCAATATAATTCACTTCGAATCTATTACATACTGTAAAATAAAATACGATACGGTAGGAATGTATTTCGTTGCTATGCATAACAATGTCAATATTTTACTTCGTACGTATTCTACACGTATAAGACATACCAATTATGAATTTTGACTTTTTCACTATATGATGCAGGTATATTAAATTGAATAGGTTCCATGTCTTCAGTTTCATCATCGCACGATAGAAAAATCGACTGAAATATATATAAATTAACATTCATTATCGTTCCTTCGATAACATTTATTATTGATTAACCTTCAATTTAACTTACATTTATTTGTCTCTTCTTCATTTTCTTTTTTTCACATATGTATATGTGTATATATATATATATATATATATCAAATAGATAAAAGTAATATTACTTTTTTATTATTAACTATTATTTTTTATTATTAATATAATTAAATATATTATGTAATTCATTTTAAAATATGCTAGCAAAGAACATTTTGCGATATAGATAATTTGTATTTTTTTCTTTCTGACAACTCGATTCTAACTCGATTCTGTACGTTTTTAGATCTTATTTTGTAAATTCAATTTGCGCAATGTTCAAATGAAAAATATTCATTGATGGATTGATTTATTTTTTGAATTAAAACGAATCAGCACGCGAATAATATTGATAATGCTAAATGTTTAAAGCATTGATATAATCGAATTGAAAAAGAAAATCGTGTGTGTGTATGTAAAAATATGATGAAACAATGATAATACCAGAAATCATAGAAAACGAAGAAAATTTACAAGAGCAGAGTATAGAACAAGAAGAAGAAGGAATTATAAAGGAAGATATAAATTATGCGCATATTGCAAAAGAGCATCACAAATATAGCGCTAAAGATAAATTTATTTATTCTCTGTACAAAGACCTAATTAAATATATCATAATCGAGTAATTATTTTTTTTTTTTCTTCTGTTTTCATTTCTTTATTTTCTTTGAAATCATATCATTGTATTGATGCAGATATGATGGACAATTGACATGCAAATGTATTACTTCACAAATGCATGAGGATGAAAATGAAAAAGAGTTATCAGAAGATATTATAGAAAAGAGATTTAATAACAATGATCTTACGAGAGATAAAACAAATAAATTATATTTAAAGTCAAATTTAAAAGATAAAAACATTCATTTCTTTTTTATCAATAATAATACTTATTTTGGTAGCACAAGTAGAAAAATGATGAACGATGAAGGATTATACAAATGGCATCATGGTGTACAATATAAGGTTTAATTTCAGTATGTTGTAATTATAAGATTTATCTTATTTATAAATGACACTATAATTTGTAAATTTTAACTGACTGATGTTTCAATAGGGTCAGTTTAAAAAAAATCAAATAGAAGGTAGAGGAATTTTAGAATGGCAGAGCAATTGCTGGTATGAAGGAGAATTTATGAATGGTTATCGTCATGGTAAAGGTACACTTTTGGATAAAGACAATTATCGTTTATATATAGGACAATGGTACATGGGATACAGACATGGAAAAGGGTTTGAAATTACATTAAATTAATTCTTGAAGTATCGTTTCATTCGCTTTTAAGATAAGTTTTTAAATTAATAATGCAATTTCTTTTTTATAGTTATTGTTGTTACGCTGAAGGTGACTCATATGATGGTGATTGGTCAATGGGTAAGAGAAATGGTATAGGTTTTTATGTCTATTCAAGTGGAACTCAGTACAAAGGATATTGGAAAAATGATTTTCGACATGGTAATGGAATTATGGCATGGTCTAATGGTGATATTTATTACGGAGAATGGGAATATGGAAATATGCATGGGTCAATTACTTATTCTTTTGACATTCTTTTTCTTTTTTAAACAGTATCAATATAATTAATAATTATTTATATAATTTCAACACTTAACAGTTATGGAGAATATATATGGCATGGCTTTTGTAACAAGAGTTTCAGTTGGTTACAAAATATTTTATATTTTGGTAATTGGTATCACAGTACAAAACATGGAAAAGGTCAGTAACAATGTACTTTTAAATATTAATACAAATTAATGAAATTAACGTATTGGCCACCGTCATTCATTTAAAAAATCATTCTTCGCAATTAATCATAATATATTTAAAAAATTTTATTTAATATAATATATAATTTTAATTATATATAAGTAAAATATATTAATAGGAAGAAATAAGTATTCTGACATTATAGACATATATAATATCAGTTTTTTATTGAAAATGAGAATGAATGGGTTATATATATGCAGCATGTAGTGATAAACTATTGTACTAATATTTACTGATAAGTTATTGTTTTAATTGTTATTTTTTTCTTATCATTTTAAATAGGTTTATTAAAGTTGAACTCAATGGGTGGTGCGAAGTATTTTGGTAATTGGAAATATAATAAGAAAGATGGTTATGGAATGATAATTGGTAAACTTTGCTTCGTCTTTTTAAATCTTTAACTATAAAAGACTTTATTTACATTCAAAATAGTTCTAGAAATTTTAATATATCATAATGATATTTTATAGGAAATAATGGAGAATTAATACAAGATGAACCTTTATATTCAACAGACATTCTTGTTTCTTTGTAAGAATAATAGAATTTATTTTTTCAAATTAATTTAATTATTAATATCAAAAAAAAGTGAAGTAATAAGAATTTATTGGTTATTATTATTTACAGAAATGCAAAGATATCAAAAATCATGGAACCTTATACAACTACGATCTTAAAGCCAGAACAATTTCCATCCTTATCATATCATATAAATCGTTTAATTCAACTATCATCATTTAAAAACTTTTCACTTTATTTACATTCCTTAGGAAAATGCTATATTTGTAACGAACAACAGTCATGCTCTTGTTTACTTCGATCTTCATTTGAAATAATAAATAATAAGACTATTCTAAAAAAGAATTTTGATAAAAAGTGGCAGTATGAAAAAAATCAAACATATGATTATTTAACATTGCACATGTTACAAATACGAAATGTCTATGATATTTATGCAAAGTTATTTAACAAGGAAGAATCAAAATGTCATTTCATTCTGATTAAACTAATGCTTTGGCAACTATGGCGTGATTGTAATTTAAATATCAAAGGTTTAAGTCTAATTGAAATTGATAATTATATAAGTTAGTAAATTCTAATGATTATTTCGATTTTATTAGCACTTACGGAATATTGATATATACTTCTTATAAAATTATGTGTTACTATATCTAGCTGAAAATGAATCAACTCTTATAAAAAAGCCATACTATCCTTTTGAGAAAATTGAAATCTGGCAATTTTTGCATGCTTTACTTGAAGTTTCTTGGCGTATTTATTACTGGAAAAATAATAAAATAAAAAAAGAGACTCATTGGAAACATGGAATATTAGTCAAATGTCTAAATGAATTTCTTACGCATGATGTGTATCCCAACGTTGGAAATTTTGTTGGTATGTTTATTTTAAATTTATAAATACATTAAGATGACTTATAAATTTCTTGATAGGTATAATTCCACGCGAATGTAATCTTCTACCAATTTATTCCATATATAAACTTTACAAACAAGTAGGATATCCACCAACTGCAACAGATATGTTAATAGCATGTATTAAAGATCATACAGTGGATGTTAATGAACCAGTTATTTTAAGTATACCAGAATATATCTTAAATGGATTAAATTGTGTTATAATTGGAGAAAAAATTAATTTTCTTCCAAGAGACGAAAAACCTTTTATGCAAACTGAAATGCAGATAAAGAGGCAGGGTAAAGATACAAGAGAATTATTACTTTTTCGAGACCTAGGACCAGTTAAAATAGTACAAATCATGACAAAAGTGTGTCCTTTAATTAAGGATACTGACGATAACACAATTCTTAATATGAATTATTTATTAACATTTCTTGAATTTTATGAAATAATATTAGAAGCTGCAAAATGCATAGTAGAATCTAGAAAGGAAAAAGATGCAACGATTATTCCACTTGTAATAAATACTGAACTTATTTAAAATAATAATTTTCAAATAAAATATACATCCAGAAAGTTTCTTTTTTATATAATCTTATGGAAAACATTGAAATGAATTTTATGTAAACCAATTTGACAATGAATGTTTACAATTATATTGTACAACACATCAATGCAATATAACAAATATTAAATCACATTATATATTTTCTTAATATAATATATGGAATTGATAAAATTTTATATTTTGTATACATATTTTCTTATAGTTAATATGAATGTAAGAATTTAAAAACTATATATAATACAGGAGATATAACTCTGTATAATATACAGAATATACTTTGTGTTACATGAATTATTGTTATACAAATCATAAGGTTATATAAATATTGATTATTTGTGCATTTGGAAACACATAATCAAAAGAAAAGTAAATTTCTAGTTATTATATTATAAGAACATATCAATTTTTGGTTTGTTTTATATGAATCCACATTAGATAAAGTTGTGTTACATAGATGTTTACTACATATGTATATAGTATATAGGATGTATAGTATAGTATGAGAAATCTAAATCTATCAAATATTGGGAGCAAAAAATATCTTATTAAAAAAATAGAAGAAAAGAAAAGAAAAAAAGTAGATCAATAAATTCTGTTTTATAATTTAAAATAGAGGTGCCTAATCAAAGTTATACAGAATGCGATAGAGAAACAGGCGATTAGGAAAGCTTGATAATTCATTGAAAAATGCTTTATTTAGAAAATTAAAAATATAACATTTTAAAGTATAATATAAAGAATTTTATTTTTTGAGAATATCTTGAAGATGACCTTATCCTCTGTATAGACATTCCTCCAATCTTGAGTGTATATTACTCATTTCACAGCATAGTATTTTTATTGAGATTCTAATTACACTTTCTTAAGTTCTGAGTTCAGCACGATTGTATGAGAGGTCCATATAGATCTTACTCTTCAAATAGTTCCACAAATATAAATCTCATGCTGTCAAATCAAGCAATTTTACTGATTAAGGAATATTCCTGTAATATATGAATATGATATGATTGGATGAACCAAACAACCAATTTCTTCAAAGTGTTTAATTTATGTCTTAGTCGTTGATGTGATGACTGAAAGAATAATTAATCTCATCATCTGCAAATTTTTATTTCTTTTCTTTTTCCTTTTGAATTAGTATAGCTCATATAGATTGATAGATAATGATCTATCAATGGCTAATGAAAAAATAAAGTTTCTTGAGTCTCAAAAATAGCCAAAAGAATATCTTATTTAAGTTCTAACTTTTACGTTTGAGGAACTTTGCACATTTCAGATGCAAGTAATAAAAAA